GCAGCCCAGCAGGGAAAGTGTTTTTGTTTTACCCCTCAGTGTTTACCAAACTATTAAGAAAACAAAGCCTCTCTCCATTAGTTCCAGCTCTTATTAAACAGCTTTTCTAAGGAAGGACCTTACCAGCTACCTGCTGATTAGTTTAAAAAATACGGGAGAAGCCAGGCAGATGCCTGCAGTCTCTGCTGGAGGTCCAGCGAGGGAGTGGAGAGGAGGGGTCAGCCCTGCTGTGGAGCAGAGAGCTCCCCTAGCCTTCTCCCCACCTCCCAGCTCCAGTGCTGTCCAGCTCCAGTGCTGTTGGAAGTGGGGGAAAAGGGAGGGGAGGGAGATCTGGGTCGGGGTTGGTCTAGCTGGAGGGGGCAGGAGCCTGGGGGCGGGGGGTGGAGTTGTGACGTGGTGTGGCTCCAATCTATCTGCCCCCCCTCTAGCCTAGGCTGGGCAAACCCCAGCTCAGAGCTCCCTCCCCTCCCTTCTTCCCCCTCCCATCCTGCAGACAACACTGGGGATGGAGCTGAGCTTCATCAGCGCAGTCTTGATTGCTCACAGGAACTGACAGAAGTTGATGAAGGCACTCCACTGTGAAGCACCTTCATCTGAACCCTCATTAGGTGAGGGTTAATTTGTTACAAGATCAGGCACTTTTAAAGTGCTCTACATCCATGCACTTCTGTCAGGGCCTGGCTGTAGAGCACTTTCAGGGGCCAAACAGCTTTTCTAAGGAAGGACCTTACCAGCTACCTGCTGATTAGTTTAAAAAATACGGGAGAAGCCAGGCAGATGCCTGCAGTCTCTGCTGGAGGTCCAGCGAGGGAGTGGAGAGGAGGGGTCAGCCCTGCTGTGGAGCAGAGAGCTCCCCTAGCCTTCTCCCCACCTCCCAGCTCCAGTGCTGTCCAGCTCCAGTGCTGTTGGAAGTGGGGGAAAAGGGAGGGGAGGGAGATCTGGGTCGGGGTTGGTCTAGCTGGAGGGGGCAGGAGCCTGGGGGCGGGGGGTGGAGTTGTGACGTGGTGTGGCTCCAATCTATCTGCCCCCCCTCTAGCCTAGGCTGGGCAAACCCCAGCTCAGAGCTCCCTCCCCTCCCTTCTTCCCCCTCCCATCCTGCAGACAACACTGGGGATGGAGCTGAGCTTCATCAGCGCAGTCTTGATTGCTCACAGGAACTGACAGAAGTTGATGAAGGCACTCCACTGTGAAGCACCTTCATCTGAACCCTCATTAGGTGAGGGTTAATTTGTTACAAGATCAGGCACTTTTAAAGTGCTCTACATCCATGCACTTCTGTCAGGGCCTGGCTGTAGAGCACTTTCAGGGGCCTGATCGCACAACAAATGTCACTTCTGTCAGTACCCTGGATGTCATTTGCTTTTAGATGAGGTTTTTTATTTGCTGGTAGTTGTTCCCACATTCTTTTGTTTACATCCAGTCTAATCTGATTTTAAATGTATGTTTTATCTCAGTATAATTTCAAAGAGAACTGCAGTACTACAGTCTTGCAGAAGAAGAGCCCAGTTGCTCGCATTTTGAGAACATGGAAACAAAATCTTTTCAAAACGAAGTACTTGTACTACACTTACTTGTATTATACCATTGTTCCAGTTCTTAAGGTGAAAAAACAAAGCCATTCACACTGTTG